GAGGGACAAGAGAGACAATCGTCTGCTGAGCGAACGTTTCTCTTTCCCCCTTGTTTCTGTTTTGTTCATTCCACCCATTTTCATTCTCCTGACTGTATCTTCTCAGGGCAAGAGAGGTTGCAGAGGGTTGCGACGATCTTTGCGTCTTTCGTCATCTGTGTTGGAATTCTGGCTGTCGTCTACAACCATCCGGTTTGCTCGCCCCTTCGCATCCTCCAAACGCTGACGATCCGTGGCAGGAAACAAGAAGTAGCTTGCTCGAGCCCTTCGTGGACATCCGTCGAGCTTCGTGGGGTGACGAGCGGCGAACAGTTGCAGACAGAACGAGAATCTTGCAGGATTTTGCCAGGCTTGAGAGGGATATCAATCCGGGTCATGAACGTGAGAGAAGAGGAGTTGGAGGGAGAGGAGAGGACTACGTTCGTGCAAGGCTGCATCCGAGAAGGACAAGCTACGCGCGTGAGGAGGACGGCAGGAGCGAGAGAGCTTTTGGTGAATTCCACAAGAGGAGCTCCCGCACTTCACTGGAGGAGGCGCTGAAGAGAGTGCTGATGAAGTGGGTGAGAGAAGGAGAGGGAGGAGATGCAAGAGAAGGAAGGCTTCGACATGGTGGCGAGTCTGTAAGAATCACCGCTCGAGAAGGACGGGAGAGGAGGGAGAGGAAGCGAGAGCAGGAGGAGCGCGGCGAGGAGCGAGAAGGGCAGCAGCTGCTGCAAGCAATCGCTGAAAGGGTTGGATCATGGAGGACCAGCGCGCCACGCAAGAGGAAGAGCAGCGTGCGAGGATGCTGGTGAGGAGGCAGCGCGAGCAGCGAGATGGAAGCTCGTCAGGAACCGCCAGCTTGATCGCCGAGCTGCTGCGAGCGTCGAGAAAGGATGCCAGTAGGGAGCCCAGGAGCGAGACCAGGAGGGAGGCCAGGAGGGAGTACCAGGAGAAGCTTCAGGCCCTCGACCGGCTGTACACGAGGATGAAGGGGCACGTGGATGGGGAGGATTCAAGCCCGGGGAGAACGTCGGCAGGAGCGGCAAGGGAGGAGGAGAGGAAGGGGAGAGAGCAGGAGGTAGAGAGTAAGGGCCAGATGAACCAGCAGCTGGTGGTCTACCCTTACTCTAAGAGCATGGCGCATGCCTACTCTCCTCCTCCTCCTCCTCATGCGGCCTCTAGTACAGATCGTACCCAGGACCTCGCGTCCTCCCCTACAGCCCTAACGTGGCCCAAGGCGAACCCCTCCTGGATCCCCAAGGGAGCGTACAAGGACAAGACGATCTACGACGCTGATTACAGCTGGCCGAGCGAGGATCAAGTGCTTCAGGTGCTCCTGACTCCTCCTCATCCTCCTGCTCCTGCTCCTGCTCCTCCTCCTGCTCCTCCTGCTCCTGCTCCTCCTCATCCTCCTGCTCCTCCTCCTCCTCTTGACTCCTCTTCCTGACTTCCTGCTCCTGCCCTGCTCCTGCCCTGCTCCTGCTCCTGCTCCTGCTCCTGCTCCTCTTTGACTCCTCTTCACCCCTCCTCCTGACTCCTGACTCCTCCTGGTTGAGTCCCCATGACTCCTGACCACTCCTCCTGAGTTATCCTGAGTCCTCTTCCGCCTAGCTCTCCCTCCTCCTCCTCTTCCTCCTCCTGACTCTCCCGCTCCCTCCCGCTTTTCCTCTTCATTGTTGCTCCCTTCCTCTCCTTTTCCTTGTCTGCTCGGGCTATCTGCTCCTTCCTGAGCTCTTTCGTCGTTCTTCCTTCTCCTTCTCCTGACGGATGACCAGGGGGACGAGTGGAGGAACAAGGCTGACTGCGGCATGTTCGGTGCCAACTGCTGAGGAAAGGAGGAGGGTGTTTATGTATAACAATGTCTTCTATTCGCTGACTTCTCACCGTACACTTTCCTTCCCGCAACCAACCTCTCTCCTCCTCCTCCTCCCTCTCCTCCTCCCCCTGCTCCATCACCATCGTCATCCTTTTCTCCTCCTCTAGTTTACAGCTTTTTTCTCCTCATGTTGCCCTTGTTTGTCTGTTGCTATCGTGTCGTCATCGGCTCCACGAGTACGTTAACGTCCCTCCCTTACTGCGCGTCACTGACCCGCTCGCATCGCTTCCTACCGTCTGCCTCTCCTCCTGCTCCTCCTCCTCCTGCTTCTCCTCCTCTCCCAGGAAGCTCTTGAACCTGCCCAAGGGGGAGGAGAGTGGAAGGAAAGGAGGCAAAGAATGGTGACAGCAGGATTACGAGAAGAAAGTCAAATAACGTGAGAGATGTGACGAGACAGTGAGGGGAGAAAAGTAGATGGCGGAGGGCAGGGAAAAGAATATGGCGGTGGAGAGGGAGGAGGAGTGGGAGAGGGAGGAGGAGTGGGAGAGGGAGAAGGAGGGAGAAGGAGGGAGGGAAGGGTAGAAGAAGGGTTCTAGTACCTTTCTGGCTCCATGAGGAGGAGCAGCGGCCTTCTGGTTGCCCACCGTGGCTGCTGCTCAGGAAGTGCTCCTGTGCAAATATCATGAAGGATGGAAGGGCGGGGAAGAGATGTACAAAGGGAATGGAGATGAGGGAGAGGGAGAGGGCGAGGGGAGAGGGAGAGGGGCGAGGGGAGAGGGGAGAGGGGAGAGGGAGAGGGAGAGGGAGAGGGAGAGGGCGAGGGAGAGGGAGAGGGGGAGCAGCAGCAGTGAGGGTAGCAGGAGCGGCTCTTACCGTCATGCAGCTCACCGCCGGTGAGTCGATTATAGTCAGAGAGCGTCTTCCCCTCTCGCACACAGACGTCGATGTGCTCGGGTCGGTTGACCTCCTCCACGTTCATCTCCTGCTCCTTGCTGAGCCAACCGATCCTCGAGCCGACCAGAGCGAGAGGCAGGGAGGGAGAGAGGGAGGGGGAGGGAGGGAGGGAGGGAGAGACAGCAAAGAAGGGGAAGGGAGGGAGAAAGAGAGCAGGAGAGGGGGAGGGGAAGGCGAGGGAGAAAGAGAGCAGGAGACGGGAGGGGGAAGGCGAGGGGGTTCCAGGATGAAAAGGAGGATGAAGGGGAAGAAACAGAGGTGAAGGTGAGGAGGAGGGGAAGGAGAAGGGGCAGTAGGAGGGGGAGGGAGACCTGGTGAGTGTATGCCTTGAGCTTGTTTCTTATCGCTTCAACCCCACCAAAGTAGGAGCAGTGCCAACCCGCAACAGCAGAAAAGACATTGACGTCGCTGATGCGACAAAAATGAGAGGAAAGAGGAGGAGAGGATGGAGCACCAGAGAGAAGGAGAGAAGGAGGATGGGGACAAGAGAAGGGAAGGAGAAGGAGGAGAGGAGGAGGAGGAGGAGAATGGGTGGAAGGAAAGACGCAGGAGGAGGGGGAGGAGCTGGAAGACGAGAAGTTTGGGAAAGTGCAGAAGAGAGTCGATTACCTCCCGTAGCTTCTCAGCTTGGAAGGAGTCATATCATCTGATAAAAGTTGACTTCGAAGAGCTGCCTGCTCGTACATATCAGTTCCCGTCCTATACCTGCCACTGATGCTGCTGGTGCTGGTGCTGGTGTTTCTCCTCCTCCTCCTCCTCCTCCTCCTCCTCCTCCTCCTCCTCCTCCTCCTCCTCATCACCTGTGGATGGTGCCAAACGAAGGGAGTCCCGTTGGGGTGGGTGATTCTCCAACTGACGCTCAACTGAGAAGGAGCAAGAGGGGGGGTAGGGGTGGGGAACCGGAAGGAGTAGAAGAAGAGCTCTGAGGCGATGGTGAGCGGCATCGGGATGAAACAGGAGGAGAGGACAGCTGAAAAGTCCGG